CTAACAAAAACAGGGATCAACCATCATTTTCCCCCAATTCAGCCAGCTTAGCTTTGCAGCAATTTAACCCCAGCCCATCAAAATCCTATTGTTGGTGGGTTATACACTCCAAATTGAAGATCACAACCCACCAACCAACATTTAATTTCTTCATCTTGCATCATCAACTTCCTTTTTCCAAAGTAAAGTCACTCCAATAACCTCAACCACCCTCAATAATACTACAACCCAGAACCGGAAAAGATGGCTTTGTTGAGCAAAGTAGTGGGTTTATCTTTACCTCTAAAATCCTTTTCATATACACCTGTAGTTCCTAAAGTAAAAGAAAAGAGGGAAAATGTATAGGGTCTTTCGAAGTTGCTATCTTTAGAGTAGTGTTGTGTGTGTGTGTCAGCAAGGGAAGAGCAGAAACGAAGGCTCAACAAAGACTTTCCTGTTAGACAACCTGACTTTCCCTAGTTTCTCATGGCACCAGATCAGCTGCTCGATCGTTACGCTGTTCATGCTCAGAACCCTCGAGACGAGCTTCAGTTCGACTTGAGCCACGACTACTTCCCTCTGCCTGCTGCATTCCTCAGAGCCCTGATTCCTCTGGAACTTCCTCAGCAGGCAGTTCCCTGTCTTCAGGATTTCCTTCAGCTTCTTGTCCTTCTGCAGGGGAAAGAAGAGGAAACCAGACAGTAGAATTTGGGTTTAGTACAAGTGGAAGGAATCTGTCAGAAGGAGAAGAAAAAAAAGGAAGATAGAGAAATGAAACCTTGTGAAATTCGGTTCTGACTTCTTGGAAGAACTCCGAGTTCGTAGTGTCCTGATCGTTGGGATCGATGTGAGGTTGCGAGATGAGTAGGGAAGTGTTTTCGTTTCGAAGAAATTCCCAAAAAAGTCTCATCGATCGGTCGATAGTCTCTGCAAGCAATTCACTCGTGATTACGAGTTCATAATCTCCGTGCTCCTTTTCCTTCTCCTCCTTCAAGCTATCCTCTTTACAAAATTTACAAGCAAAAAAAAAAACACTTCAATCATATTTCAAGATTAAGTTGTTGCATATTGAAAGATATTCAAAAACTAAATATTATGTTAGTGCTCTTATATACCGCTCGTCGCTCGACCTATCATATACATTATGCTCGAATTTACCATGAACATCATAGTTATTAAGTTCTAAACGTACGCTCTCTTAGTCTGATATTACGTCAAAAACTAGTACCTTTGATCATGGGAACCTGAAGAAGGTTTCGGACGACGCAACGATCCTGGACGTAAGTCTGGACCCTGTTGGGACCCTGGAAAGGCTCATTCTCCACAAACCTCTGCACCAAAACCTGGAAAAGCTGAAACTCCCCTGCCACCTGATTATACCGATGCGAGCTTCGAGACGACGAATCGAACCTCATCAGCTCCATGGACTTCCAGAACTGCCAGTGAAGCAACTCCCACGAAAGGCAGAGCTGTCCGACGTACACAACCTCGAAATCTCTCTGCAAATCCGCCACGATCTTCCTCGTCGGCTCCGCCGCGACTTTGCCTAGCTTGCACCAGTTGTGTAGCACAGCTGATTTCATCGCAGGGATCGAATACCGCCGTGGCGGTTGGGATAGAACTGCTTCCTTCAGTTGCAGTAAACCTATGAAATAACAAACAAACCAGTATGAGAAAAGATTTGAGCACGAGTTCAATGTGCAATTGAATTGATTGTGAGCTAGTCAAGATTTTGAATTAGGTATTCAATCATTATAAAAGTTGGACAAATGAGTGGAGGCGTGGGGCTAGCAATGAAATGGAGAAAGGGGGAAAAGGAATAAAGCTTTGGCATAGAATATTAATAATGGTGGAGAAATGTTGCGTTGCTCTTTTGGAATAAGAAAATTGTTCTTTCACCTAATGGAGTTTAAGCAAATGAACTGAACATGGTAAATGGTAAAAGCTGATAACAGTAATTTTTCCATTTTGGGAGTTAATTTACCTGCAGCATGCATGGTTTGGAAGTTGAGGATGTCCAATTTCTTCATCCTGTCTGAGTAATTCCTGTAAACTTTGTGGATGCTGTCAATGAGATCTTTGTACTCGACCTTGTCGTCGTCGATCTTCATCGGCTTCAGTTCCTGAGCCACTTTGGGAGAAGAATTGGATGATGATTCTTCTCCCGTCTCCTCCGATTCCTCGAGAATCGTCGGCAGGCCACCAGTTCTGGCCTGCCTGAGCTCCATCTTCAGCTGTTCGACTATGTCGCAATGCTCCCACAGTGCATCTGTATCGTCTTCTTCATTCTCGTAACTCGAGAAGAAAGCCGTCTCCTCGATGCTCGGTTCGACTGGATTTCCCGGTTCGGGTTGCTGGATTGGTTCTTGCTCCACTGTCTGATCATTAATGGAAGAAGTAGATGAATCCCGATTCCTTGGGTCAAATTCAATGAATTCGTCCTCTTCTTCGCTGTAGTCATCTTCTTCATCTTCATGTTGTTGGGCTTCTACTTCGGAATCGTTGGATTCTGGGGGTTGAACAGATTCCATCTTCTCAACCTCTTGTTCATCAATGGAGGCTCCTAGATTCCCGGGTTCTGATCCTTCATAAATAGCTCTGTAAGGGAAGAAATGGTACTCTTTGATTGGTGGAACGCAGTTTTCTGTCGGAAATTTCTCAGCTTCTTCATCACGTGAGGAATTATGTACTTCTGTCAGTCTTTCACCCGAAGCGTCTTCTTCGATGGCTAAGGCGGAAACAGAGTCCTCTGTTTCTACTGTTTCCTTCTTCTCTTCAACTTCCCCTGTTTGAAACTCTGTTTTCCCATGATCACTGAAACCTTCAATTTCAGAGATAAGTTCCTCTTCCGTTGACGCCGTCTCAGAAATTAATTCAAATCCAAGCGATTCAGATTCTTCCTCCGTTGAAAATCCGTCGTAGCCAAAACCCATATCTTCTTCTTCTTCTTCTTCCTCCTCCTCCGGACTCTCAGTAGTATCATCATAATCATCGTCGACGAACTTGGCGTTGCTTTTTTTAACCTCCGTCAGTTTTTCAATCAGGGAACGATCGAAGAAATCCCAACCGTTCTCTAAGTCGAATTCATCTCCCTGGAAATTCTTCTCCTCATCAGCGTTAAGAGAAGGAGCTTCATAGACCGTGAATTTCAAAATCCTGGGTTCCTCCACGAATCCAGTCATCACTTCCCCAGATGAGACGAACTTGTACTTGTTACTACCACTTTCCCCCGATGGAACAGTGGTGTCCAATTCAGCAATAGTATTCCCCAATCCGCCATTTTTACGCCCATCGGAATCTTCTTGTTCGTCACGATGAAGTAGAACTTGGTAATTATCGTCCTTCTCCTCCTCCTCCTCGGAATTCCCTCCATTCTCAAATTCATGGAATCTGCCACGGAAAGAAACAACAAAACAGAAACGAACTCCATATCAGAAAGAAGGGGGGGGGGGGGGGGGGGGGGGGGGGAAATCCCAAAAGAAGACTTTCCAGAGTAAATGAAGGAAAGAACAGAGGAAGTGAATTACCGGAAGATGAGCTTCAGAGAGGATTGAAAGAGGTGGGAAAGGAGGAAACAGAGACGAACCCAGAAGGAGAAAAAGCTCGGATACATGTTAAGATCGAGTTGTGGCCAGGGAAATCCCAGTACCCATGATCGAAATCTCCCTAATTGTTGTTGGGTTGTGTCGTTTTTTTTTTTTTGTAAGAAAAAAAGCTACGATGGAAAGGCACTTGTCGCGGCGGACACGACGGGAAGAGGAAAATGGCAGAAGGTGTCCATGGAGAAGAAATACGTTGAAGAGACTGTCAGTAGTTTTAGCTCACCCGCGCCCGGAGAGTTCCCTCCAATATTGATTGCGACGCAGCATCGCGAAACAGGGTATAGGCTGGGCGAGAAATGAACACCCGATTCCAAAACTGTACCGTATCGATGGTTTGACAACTTCCTATCAAAAGCAAAAACTTTTAGATGATACTCAGCGATAATAAATAATTGAATCACAATTAAACTATGATTTGAGCATAAAATACCATAACACTCATACAACCTCATTTTTCTATCCTTCCAAAGCAGCTATGGCCGCTCACCCGCGAGTGGGTGATCTGCAACTGCAACTGCATGCATCGACGCGTTCCACTGCCGTTGTTACGCGTGGGGGAAGCCTTAGAGTCTCCCCGTAGCTTTCAGTTCCTAAATTCCATTCTTCGTCTTCTCCTCCATCAATCTCGCTTTTTGGCTCTTTCCCGCCTGAATTTATTTGGCGTTACACGGCGAAGTAAAAGCGGCCGATCGAGATGCCGATCCGCAGCGACAAGTAGCCACTGATGTGAAAAACGATGCACCTCCCCAAATCGCGACAAGTGGCACCTCCCCTGTCGCCATCGTACTTGACGAGTTGGATTGAAGCTGAATCCTCCTTAATCATGGGGGACGTGGACCTCTCAGATGGTGCTTTTTTTGTTAAATTATAATCACATCTGACGTGGCATTTCTCCTGTCGTGTCGTCGTCGTCGAGTTCTTAAATACGTACCAATTAAGGTCTAAGAATTCTCACAAACAAGACGCTATGTAGTATGTAACTATTAAGAATCAAGAAGGCTCGATATCTTTCCAAACAAGGCTCTACATGTTACTGGGAAGCAAGCAAAATCCAGATCCTGACAGACAAAACCATCGAATCTGTAACGAATAAGGCATTGTATCGTTACAAATCAGCAATCAAGCACAGTTCCTGAACCAGCCGGTGATGGGGAGGACGACTGTTCTGGAGGACAGCCACATTGTCTCGACAAGGGGCAACAGCTCCAGGGATGTTTTCTGGTGCTTGGAGTTTGACGTTCGAGAACTCGGGTTTGAATGCGTAAAACATCCCTTCAATCTCACCTGATAGATTACCTTTTTCCTTTTCAGTCTGCAAGAGCTACATGTGATCCGATCACATAGTGGAAGCGCATACAGATTTTTTTTTGGGTGAAACTGTAAAGCTGCCCAGCAGAAAATCATTCGTGGGAGGGATAATCATATGTTGATGGTTGCTTCCCATAGCCTCAGAACTCCATTCCGACCGCCACTACATATCCTCTTCCGTTCAAGGTCCGAAGCCACACATCGCACCTGTGTTCACAAATACCAGGTCACAGCTCAGACTAATAATTCAAGTTGTCCAACCATATCAAAGTAATATGTGCCCTTCAGAAGTCACAACTGTTTAGTGTAAATTTCTCTTGCTCAACTACTTTACTAGGATAACGAATAAGATCGGTGATAGCAGAATGCAACCCGGAAGCAAGACAGGTTTGATGTCAGATATGGAGAAGGCAGAGAACGAATTAACAGTTAAGCAACGGATTATGTTACCATAGCAACCATCTTTTGCGGTGTCCGGTAGAGCTGCCAACCAGGCAATTTTGACCCTGAGCTAGCCACGCCACCAAGTCGATCTTGAGGGCGATTGAAGAGAGACATTGAATTGTCAGCGGCTCCAACTCCAAGCCAGTGTTCCCCAGCGTTGATAGACAATATGGAAGCACTATGAATCGTGTCATTTCTCAAGCATTTTACGCCTCCTGCATGGATATATATATCATATGGCATAGTGGCATACCAAAATACTGTTATCAAAACTCCACAATGCATAGTTAATTGCACTTTGTTTAAAAACAAAGACCACAGACAAAATAGTAAACAATAAACGTCATGGTTTGTTTACAATCGACTATTAAAACACTTTGGTACAATCTTAACACAAAATCAATTTTCATAGAAAGCTTCCACAACGAAAATTCAGCACAAACGATGAATTAGTATGATTCAGAGTTCAATGTGCAAATAAGAGAAGAAAACCATGACTTGAGGGATATTTGGATGAGTGAGCGCGGAAAAGGGAGAAGATTGTGTGCTACTTACAAATTAATAGAACATAGCTCAAAGAGGGCGTAAAGAACCTATATAGCTATTTTCATTACTGATATTTGGATGCTTTTCACCCCTCATTAAACCAAGGCAAATATTCTTTACTGAGTCACAATCAGATAGCTTATATTCTTTACTGACGACCAGAAAATGTATTTCCAGTACAGCAACAAATGATGCATATGTTCAAGGCAAATTCCTGATGAAATTGGATATCAGTCCAACACAGAAGCTGGGAACTCATACAGATACACAACAGCTTGTAAAATTTGAAGTAGATAGTCTGCACATACCTTCATCATGTTCCCAAAATCGAAGTAGCCCATCAGTTGAACCTGAAATAGATCATGATGTTTAGCAGCACTAATACTTAGTTTGTCAAAGGCACTAAATATGAGACTTGCATAACATGAAAGATTGGTTCATGAGCATTGAGCACAACATAGAAATCGAAAACAAAATCTTCTCAGTTTAGCAGATAGATCTCCAACCTGTTATAATTCCTCTATCAGCTGCAGAATACTCCACACATAAGATTGGCCCAGCATGACAGGCTAGGACAGCATCACATGTTCCTCGTGAGACAGACCACACTCTAGCAGTCCAATCATCACTACCTGTTATCAGCGTGTCTCCAACCATTCTAACAGACCTGCATGATTACACGTATCACATAGACCTCCTTCAAGCTTTTATCCATGACTTTGTATAACCAGAGCACCAAATATATAGAAGAAGATGCTCAAAGCTCACCGAATCCATTTAGTGTGCCCTGAGAGCTTATGCATTTGCTTTCCAGCTCGGATGTCCCAGACATTTGCAACACTGGCATCCAATATGTAATGAATTTATAGTTAGCATGTAAAGCAGAAAAAAATTGATAACACACACCAGGAAAGAAAATCAGGATGCAAGTTTCATACGCATCTCTGCCAGCAGCAGCGAGAATCCCAGTGGAATCATCATATTCCATGCAAAGGACAGCACTAGAGCAACGACCAACCGTTGCTACACAGGTGTCCGTTCGAACATCCCACATCTTAACAGTCCCATCATGAGCAGCAGTGAGGACTCTCTCACCTGACAGCATGCGGACACAGCTGACCTACAAGAAACACAAGGATAAACCAACTCTTCAAGTATCCAACTGTTATTCATGTCACTCTGAAAGGATGTTTCTCACTATCACATTATGGGTGATATATCCATAACAAATAACACTGAAACTTGTGGATCCAAGCTTCTTTAATGCTATCGTTCTTGGGTAATTTAATGTGACAGGCAGCTTTAGTAAACAGATACTCTTAGCCCTTAGGTGCACTAAATGGGGGAAGCTAGTCTTCTGCTTGCTCCAACACTAAATTACTGGGTCAAGTCTAAAAGTTCAAATAACCATGATTTTCCTAGGCACTTGCAAGGTGCTTTCATTTTTTCCTATTCCAAACTGATACTACTATAATATGACCCTGCATGAAACACGTACAGATTAGTGCACATAAACCACACAATTCACACTTTAGCAGATGCCACAAATATGCGTCAACTTTTGTCATATGAAAATATTTTTGTGAGCACTATGATTTCATCAAAAACATGGCAAGCGAGTTTTTATCGAATCTTTGTAACCAACAGGTGGTTGTCTCGGCTGAATCGCGCACTGGAGATAAACTCAGCACGATGTATCATGATTGAATATAGCTTAACACGGATTTGCCACAGTTTTTTCACAATTCCACCATTAAATCTCGAAGTAGTAGCCTCACAGATTCGATCTACGGTATGGTCACTAACACTACTAACAGCAATGCTTTACTATAAAACACAGGACGTGAGTATTTCTGTCGTGAGATTAATAAGAAATTAAAAAAATTATCATCTCATGATCAGAATGGACTATTCAAAACAGTTTCAAGAAACAGACAGAATGCCTTAGGGGAAGCAAACCTGAGCTTCATGACCCTTTAATTCTTCCAGAAGCTGGGTTGTTTGCTTATCCCACACAATAACAGTCTGGTCATCGGATCCTGATACCACCTTCCCTCTGTCAGAACTTATTGCGCGCACAGTTCTGCACAGGTAACCAATGACGTAAGGGCAAAAATACTTTGCACAAGGATCAGAATCCATTATGGAGAAAGGCCATCAGTATTTCCCATTCGTAAGAAAAGGTGTGCAAAAGTGATAAACCTTTTGTGCCCTTCCAAAGTTGCCCGAAGTTCAGAACCACGAATGCTAGGATCCCAGATCTTAACCTGCATCATTATTTGAAGAATCATCAAAACTCTTGAAAACCAGAAATGATGACTTCCTAAATAAGTCAATCCTAGTAGGTCACAAATCAAAGGAGACCAGATACACTGAAACAATAGCACAAAACACATGACTGATCCAAACACTCATGAAGGATTAAGTATGAAAGGTAATGCAAAAAGTCTGAGCTTATAGCATACTGAAATAAATCTGACCGCTTGAAATAACCTTGTGTAACATAATAGAAAAATAAACTTGCAAAAATTCCATCTACCCTCACCCAGATACTAAAGACGAGCACATAATGAATCAAGTCATTATGCAGGCAGAAATATTAATCTCGCAGAAAATATAGTTATCACGAGTTACCATGCAGTCAGTGCTTCCACTGATGAAGAAACCAGCATCTTCACGATCCCCCACTAAATCCCAGACCTCTCTTCTTGTCACACAGTGCAAAGCAGTTACGGCACCATTGTGGCCTCTAAGTACTCGAACATTTGTTTGCAGTTTCTTTTGGCCAGCAGCAGAAGAATCTTCATGCAGGGAGTTACAGTTCAGTAAGCAGGGAAACTTTAAAGCAATAGTAAAGCAGTAAGAATGAGTAATGAATAAAACAAACCTGAAGCACCATCAGAAGTCCATTTACGGACACGAGCGAAAGAGTTTACTCTTGAAGAATCTCTACTAAACATGCTTTGAACCCAGCTCCTTCCAACAACAGAAGCCTCAGCAGGTTGTTGATTTTCATCTGTGCCATCTTTTGGGCGAGGAGAAGACAATCCCATAGATGAAATGGATGGGGCCTTTACAGACGAGACTCCCCAATAACCAACACGAAGTTGTTGTATATGTGTTAAAAATCCACGGAGTTGAATCTGAAATATTACAACAACCAAAATGAAGGAAAAATCAAGAAAAAAATCTATAATGTTTACCCACGGGTAGTCAAACACTACATTTAGTAAATCCATACATGGAAAACCATAACAGAAATAAGTTATAAAATAAGTATGTCTATCTTTTGGAGTCTGTTGAGTCAGGAATCAATATAGCAAGGGATGCTCAGTTGCTTCAACTGGAGGTAGATTTAGCAAGAAGAACGCCCATTTCTGTAGGTATAATGGTCTGCCTTCGTATGTGTCCTCATTATGTAAGCAACTGACTAACTAAGCCCAAATGCAACATGTTGGCAATGTTTCGTTTCTATCCCATCCTCAAAGCTAACTTACCACCAAGTTACATTCAATCATAACTTTGAAACACTTCAAAAGATAAGAGGTTACTTACAAGCTGCTTGTATCCAATGTTATTCTTCTCTGAGATCGTTTCTATCATGTACCAAGCATCAGTATCAGAAATTCCTAAACCAGCCTTTTCAAAACACAAACAACAACAACAAAAAAAAAATTTGATGAAACAAGTAAATCTTGTTGGGAATAAGGAAGGTAACCCAGAAAAGACATGTTGAATATGGAGATAAAACAAACCATGTGTGAAGCCACGAGGATCAGCTGTGATGTCACTTGAGCAGCATAGTTGGCAGACCTGAAAGTGATGGACGACCCTCGATAGGATCAGTTGTGAGTGATGTCACTTGCGCAGAAATTCTCTCAGAGTTAGAAAGTTAAGGGCACGAATTGGAAATACGGATTCATATTCTTACATATAGTGTTTTGTGAGGTAGCAAGGACAACGAAAATACATGCATATTAAATTCAAAGTCGATCAATACTAACAACTTAACATCAATCAAAAATGAAGATTTTGGGGACAAATCTAAAATAGAAAAACATGGTCTTTGTGTGAGCGTGCAGAGGAAGTGCCTTAAGAAGAGAGAAGAGGAACATAATGCGAAGAAGAAAAGAACTTGACAAGAGAATAATTGCAAGATGCTTACTTGTCAGAGGAACGCTCCATCAGATAGTCAAAGAATCCTTCCCAGAACCTGAAAGATAAGCAAGCAGAAGCTTATAAATACTCGAACAAACATAAACTTGCGACGGAAATTAGGAAAGGGGAACCAGAAGTTGTGCTTTATGATACAGATTGCATGAACTAGATTCACTTAAAAGAAGAAGATCAATATCTAATCATCTGCAACATTGAAAGAATCCGCAAAGTCCGAACAAGAAGTTCTGGAACATGACTTAAGAAGATAAGCACAAATTGTGTTTAGCATAGCCTATGCATGGTAATGGGTGTATGAACAAATGCACATCTTGATAACAAATCATGCATTGTTTGACTAGTACGTCATACCGTAGCTCTTCCCATATGGACAATGACATTAGATGCCGTTGGACAAAGTCAGGTACATTGTTGTTGTCTTTCCTATACATCTCAGCTGATACCTCCAAAGCATCTCTAACGGTTGACATATCATTGCGTGATGTTGCAAGGATAATCGCTGTTTTAAGCTGGATTTAGCAAACAAGAGCAATAGGGAATGGTTTCTGATCAGTCGAAAGAAATCTATTCATGAGGTAGCACATAGCAGTGTACTTCCCACTCTATAACAAGTACAATCAGTTGTATCGACAACAGCAAATAGGCATAAAAAAAAACTCAAGAAAAGGATCCAGTAACTCAGAACTTTTCCAATATCACCTTTTAAGAAAATAAGTCTCCTTCCTCAGGAAATGGGCGAAAGTTTTTGGAATACATAAATAAATGAAGAGCAATATGATTCTCCCTCAAGTCAGTAATCAACAAAACCTTAGTCCTTTAGCTCTCCCACAGAATCGCAAGCGAGAGCAAAGGCCACACAATAGAAAGCTAAAGAAATAAGATTCGGCGAAAGGTTGCCAATAAGAGAATGCATAAACAATGGAAATATTGCTACCATTATGGAGGGAAATTTTCTGAATGAACCACAACAGGAAAAATTGGACTTCGAACTGCGGTAAGATCTATCTATCATGTATAGTCCAAGGTAGTTAAGATTTCTCCACGTTTAAGTTCAATGAACGCCACCCAGCTTGTATGAAGAAAAAAAAGCTTTGCAGAATAACCTACCAATTCTTTAACTGCAATGAACTGCTCATCAGTCAATTGACACTGCCAGCCCTGCAAGAAGAAACCCACGTAAGGTTATGCTTTGTACAAGAGATGGTAAACATTCAGCTGTAGCTTTCTCCAATAACATACAGTATGTATATGCTCGCTTATGCACTCAACAAACCCACTACCACCAATTCCCTCAGCATCAGACTCGATCAATGCTGCAAAGCAAGTATAAACTGCCTGTTAATCTGCAGCACTCTTAAGAGAAAACAAGTTGCACTTTCAGAGGTGCAATGCTTTATTGTAGACTGTAAAGAAGAGTTCCGCCAATTGAGAAGCATACCAAGGATTGTGCCATACTCAAATGAGGAAAGAGGATCATCAGTGGCACCCAGTTTCAGAAGACGTAGCCATAAGCCCTGTATAAAATATATTCTTTAGAACATAGACATTAATAACAGAGAAAGAAAAAGACCATCACAACATGAGAACCAAATCCACCAAAATTTGATTATTCATCAAAGGTGGTGGAGGCGATATGATAAGCCAAAAATTGTAACACCATAACTCCATTAAGAGGATATTGTATTTTGTTCACCTGCAGTTTAACTTTGATGTCGAGGACCATGCGTTCTCTCTCCGCCTGCATATGGTTTGAATCATTTAAAACAGTTCCTGAACTATAACAGCATTCTACTCGAGATATAAGTAACTTACGGCCCTCTCCATCGGACTAAGAGCTTCCTTCCCCACTTGAACAGATGGTGAGCTGGAAGAAAAATCAATTACGTCAGAGTGGCAACTAGAAATTGAATTGGCGTATTCCACTTAGTTTTATGCTGGACCTCTCAAGATCCCCCCTTCTCTCTACGTTTTCCAAGGAAAGAAAAAAGACGATGATACTCAAGAAAGGCACATACCTGGGAGCATTTTTAATGTACTCAAAAGCTCCACTTGCTGCAGCGAGGATCTGTTTCCTCTTCTCCTCCTGCTCTTCTGTTCTAATGTTAGAAGGAAACCTGTCATAAATATATTTAGCACCTGATCCTGAAGAAACAAAGACAAATTTCTTTTAATTTAATGACAAACACAATTAAGTAACTCTGACACATCATCAAATATATTTAGAAACAAAAGTGGCTAGTTAGGATCCCAGTTGTACTTGATACACCCCCATTTGGATCTGATATGGTAACAATTTCAGGCTCCGTAGAAGATGAGGGGAGAATTGACATGGGATTTTGACCCCTCCCAATAGCATCCTGTAACTTGTCTAGGAGATTACTGTCACTTTCCTCGAGGCTTCCAGCTCTTTCAAGAAAATCCAGGAAGCCATGTGTATCCAAAAACTGGGATACCTGCAAAAAGTGTGAAATAGCATCATAAACCAAGAAGCAGCAACATGATAAGCTATCCACAGTTAGACATTTTGAATGTAATCCAAGCGAGAAAGCAGCAACTCCAATCTCTAGATCCATTGAGCTTCATAAATGAAGGCAATTACTTCAGCTATCCACAGATAAAAAGAACTATCATCTGCATATGCGAATGTAAAGTTTGGCTAGAACCAACATAAGAAATCGATTCATAGCAAAACACATGTCCTTCGATGTGCCCAAAATTTCAAATAGGGAACAAAAAGTTCCTGTAAAAGAATGTCAAGTGGCAGAATGACCAATAGGTGCACTATCAGTCAATCATCAGAAAGGAAAAGGTAAGAAATGACTTGTGTCTATAGCCTGACTTATTACCATTAATTGCTTCAAAGAAGTAACACATCTTTCTTGTGAGACCAGATACTTCTAATGGAGAACAAAAGGCTGGTCTCTATCTAAGACTAAAGGAAACTTCCAAGCAGAAAACAAATAAGTGCAGTATGGCTACACATTTACTCTGCCTCAAGTAATAGCTAATGACTGGCAACGACTACAAAAGAGAATCATTTGTAATTTTGAAGAGAGAATAGACAACTCGGAAGTTGTGTACAATGTTTGAATCTTTGGATGTACAGAACCAGAATCTTCAAGCAGTCAGCTGCCAGATAACACTAGAAGTTCGTGATTCGCGATTGTATAGAGATACAAAAACAAGAGAACACAAGGGCACAGGACAAACACAACCCACACAGCTAAAGGTAAAAATAATTGACCAAAAGGACTTGGTGTATGGGTGTACAGCAAGCAGCAATGAAACGAGTGAAAGTTCAGTAAAGCCACCAAATGACTCATTTGATGCTCTGTAAAACCCATATAGGGGAAAGATATGTTAAATCATGCCGCTTTTGGCTTTTGCTTTACCTTTTCGCTAACAACATTAAGATTGAGCTAACATCGAAACTATCTGCTGCAAACCTCCATCCAGGCATCCAATAATGAAAAAGAAAAATAATCAAACCCTAACCATCTCATCCAAAATAAACCAAGTGCTTTAATAAGGAAACAAATTCATTTACAAGAAGTCTGAGAACGCAAGTGCAATAAGGAAAAAGAATCCAACCATCGCATCTGGAGGTTGATGCGTCGACCTAGAGCGCTTCTTTAAAAAAGCCTGATTGTTGAAGGCCTGAGCTGCACTATCTTCCTGCAAATTCGGTAGTGAGAAAATATATACAGGGGTTAGCTATGTCATAGACCTAGAAGTGATTCCAAACAACGAGGAAGAATTTTTCCATACAATGAAATTGCGGTAGCCACCTAAGATTGAAGCAAAGAACCTGAGAAATATAAGCCTGCAGATGCGTAGAAAAAATTCATTACATTCAAACCAACATAAAAGATACCAAATAACAAAGATCACAAATTTTGAGTTCCTAGCATGTCTCTTGACAGAAATCCATACTTGTTGTTAACTTGTTATGATAAATCAACTGGACAAAGCCAACATGTGTCTCAAGAAGCTTTTACACCAGCATACATATGCTCCTGATCTAGCCTAAAATGACACTAGAAACAAGTTTTGGATATTTGAACAACTTAAGTCTATATACATCAACTAGCTCAAATACAATCGTAAGTGGTTTCTTGACTGGACTACTTAAATGTTTTAACTTTTATCATCATTTGGTTAAAAATCATCAAACTTCCACTTGGATGTGTTTTTCAAATTCATAACTATCCTTGTAAGATAACCCAAAGGAACTGGCCTAACAATAATGTGGGATGACAACATCCAGCACACCCAGCATTTGAACCTTGCCATCGTCAGCCATGAGAAACAAAAATAAAAAGCAATTCTTATTAGATAATTTAGCTGATGCAAGCAACAAAACTGCATTCTAAAGAACAAAGGAAACATAAATTTAACAGGGAAAAGAAAGATGAAAAATAAAAGAAAAGAAGATGAATGTTTCGCTAAAACTTATATGGTCAAAAGAAACTGAAGGAATAAAGTTCAAAATTTCCATTAAAAACCTTAAACTTGCCAATTAATCTGAAACAACGATTACTTCTTTAGTACAATAGCATCCAGGTATCACCTAAGTTGAAGGTCTTGTTCCTCTCCCCAAGGCTGGTTGCAGGGAATAGACCACTGTTCCGACGAAGCAGCTGGGCTAGTCTTAATCTGATCTATTCCCACAACTTTCGGATGCAACAACTTCAGTATATCCATGCGCAAAGAACTGAATTCCGGCTCTGGAATAGGAGGTATTTCCTCTGATGTGCTTATTCGATTATACTCAAGGTCCACAACCACCACCTATAACACAATATCAGGTACATAATGTTCAGCTTGTGTTGTACACCACAAAAATAAGGTCCTACGGCCAGTCCAATTCGTATGTCATATATAGGAATATCAACCATCAAGCATGCTGAAAATTTTACTAATTTGTCAAAACTATGCATGTTGCATAGCCTGAATACAAAGCACTAGAGAAAACAAAAAATTGGGAACATATTCTCCTTGCTCAAAAAACCAAATATTTCATTATAACACTAGCGATACAAAGCACGTCATTAAGACAGCTCACTATCTGAACCAAGTGCGAGAGCCCAGAATTAAAATTTCAAGTATTTAGGATATATAATGTACAAACTTTACAGCTCCTACAGGAACAGAAGGGACTAATAACTTGGGAGCCTGTATCATACACTGTAGCTTATAATAATGAATAGGATGTGATAGCAGAAAAATGTATTACAATCAACCTACAGCAGATATAAGGTTTTCAACTACCATGAAATAACTAAAGCCAAGGGAAAGGACTAGTAACAATGTAAGGAAGAAAACATCCAACCCAATCCTGATTTAAGCTTTGAACCTAGATCACCAATCAAAGGGAGATTTATAGCCAAGACTGATACCTATCAGTTGATAAAATAAAATAAAATAAAATAAAAATTCTCACATTGCTGACAGCAAAGATCCAACTAAGTAAATCAACAACAAAGTACTAAATGCTTGAAGTTTGAGCATGAACTTACACCGTCCATCACAAGGTAGGATGTATCAACACCTGAGTGAAGACCCATCATGTATGGCGTAGGAGCATCAATATAGTCTACTCCGCTGAAAAAAAGTGATGGGATGTATACATGCTTCGCACCAAGAAAACAATTAGACACAGAATAAAAAGATCAAACCCATAATAGAATTAGCTTCATTGCAACCAGCCTGACTAGAACATACTTGGTTCGCAGTTTAGATCAGTATATCCATTCAATAAAAATCACATCCACTACTATTTACAAGTCTATAAAACTAAATTGCATAAGCATAATGAACCAGGAAAGTGAGATCATAAGCAATTGAACAACATACTTATAGCTAAAACATTTATCATGTTATGAAGTACAAGGAATCAGATTTAAACAGTTTTGAGCCACAACATAAGATCTGAACTGAACATATCAAGATCTTTTTTAGTCGGTAAAAAGGAAATGAGTCTTAATACAAGAATTGAAATCACTACACGTCCAAATCTATAAACAGAAGTTCTTATGTGGAGAAACAGACATAAGCAGTTTTGAACACACACAAGAACTACCAGTTGTGTACCATCATAATATGCTTTTCCTTTTAGCTAGATAAAAAATAAACAGTTGAGGATGCATAACTAGTTCAAAAATAAACAACATTCTATTAACCAAAGGAAAAAGAGAACAGAGTCCAGAAATCCCATCTTACCTGCCACCTAAACGGATATATCAAATGGCATATAGCTTCTGACACTATTGTTAACAGTGAATATCTGTTCCAGACAATAAAAGCAACTTATTTAATATTAAAAATTCAATACTGCAACAGTAATCGTGTTACTGTAATAGAAGTAACTAAGACCTACTTAATTCAGAGGAAGACTAACCAAAAGATTATAAATTAAAAACTAGTTGTGACAATTATTGCCAGAGAATTCATAGTTTTACTGTAACGAATCAGGGGAAGTAATCGTTTTAACAAAAAGTGAATTTTCATTGTTGCTAAAGTCAGAAACTATCTAAAGGAAACTGTACATACTTATTGGATCGAAGCAGAATCCTCCTTTCAAGCAGGACAGCTGTAAAAAGCTCGATTAAGTTGTCAACATCCAAGCACTGGACCAGTGGTTGAAATGATATCTGCATTTGGCAAAAAAAAAAAAAAAAAAAAAAAACATCACATGCTATCATATCATATCATTTTCTCGTGATGTAGCAAACGCTGATGATTAGCAAAGGTGTTATCACTTGACTAAGTTTGTTATATTAAGCCGTACATCAACATGAGGAAGACCGTTTTTTGGTGGAGGATCAACAGAAAGCAGACAATTCTCGATAGCAAACAAGACGCGATCCCTCCCAGGAGTAGGCAATGGTACATTGGAGACCAAATGTGCAATTACATCCCACAACGGCTTGCTGAAATTTTCCACAAATAAGAATCCTGATCAAATGTATTTCCTCTCACAAAAAACCTTTACTCACAGCAACAGCCATGAAAAACCTACCGTTCGAGAGTGTATATCACCCACCACTAATGAGAATAAAGAGATAAGCAAAAATCCATGTGCACTCCCAAAAGAAAAATTAAAATGATAAGGGGTTTCTGTTGAAATTGCTCAATTAACCTACCACAATTATCATCAAACAACCTTTTCCTTCTAAGTTTTGCCACAAAAACGGCCTGCTTCAGAGAGAACCTAAAATACTTGAAGCATTGACAATATATCCTGACTTCCTGAGTCCAAGTAAACTTTGTGCAGTGATCACAAATCATGCCAGAATTTTCAACTTCAAACGAGCACAGTTCGAGTCACTTGCATAACAGCTTAGTTCAGGCAATATTCATCATTTTAATGAGATAAGAACGTTTTACAATGGGCCTGCTATGAGATATTAAAGAAGACTCAATGAAAAATGCAATGCTAGCTTGAAGAAGAGTCATTAAAAGGAGTTGAAGGCAGACGAAAGAGTAATATGTTAGCTAAACATCTATACGAAATAATAAAAGGGACATGCTTGTGAAATGAACTTAATAAGCATACACACCTACTGCCATCCGAGGAAAAGCAAAGGGCAAACAACTCCTCCAGGGTATTGCGAATGACAGTAAAACTAGGAGACCGTGAAACAAGACAAATGCATTTGTCAGCAAAGGAATTTGGAGGTATTCGGTATGCTTCAGCGATATCCTCACTAACTGGATCCCGGAAAGCAATGCAACTAACATAAATTTTAGACCCATCACCCTCTGCATAAAGTCACAAAACAGCAACAAAAAAGCATGAGGTTATTCATCCCAGTAAGAATTGAGGAAAAGGTGGTACATTCAATTTTCTGAACACGTACACAGACACTAACTAAACAGTAAAGTCAGAAGGGCTAGCATCAGCCAATGCATACCACCCAGGATTTTTTTTTTTTTTAATATGTTCACTTGTAAGTTGTAACTCAAAGGAAGGATCACACCAGGTAACACACATTGGATGGAGCAGATTCAGAGCCAGCAACAATACACGGATCAGGGAATTCAACATGAAAAAACTCACAAGGAAGTCTCAATTCTCAGGTTGCACAGACCTAAAGCTTAGTAGTCGTTCTCTAAAACCAAATGCTACTAAGAAATACAAAATTACCCGTCAAAACAATAGGATAGCTCCGTGGTGAACTAGAAGGATCGTTTACATCAAAGCCAGTCGAGAAGATCTCCACACCGGCTGGCAAAACACACTGCAGATTTCAGAAAAATTCAACCAATCAAGCTATGTTCCACGAAATTCAGACTTCGTTTCAGCAAAGCAAGAAAGCCAGGGGTAAGCAATGTGCGGGAAGATGAACAATTACAGTGGGGAGCTGGGGTGGAGGCGGAGGGTATAGAGTATGATTTTCCGGCGGGTACTGGTCAAGCAGAGACGGCAAGTACAGAACGCCTACTCCATGGTAACCTTTGTTCCCATCCAGGGTTCGAATCTCGGGACCCAGCCCGCACACGACGAAGTACTCGAAGATCGGCGCCATTCCTCAATTGGATTTCGAGCGGAATCCAACTGAGTATCTGAATAGATGGAGGCCAATGTTGGAGAACGAATGCGGGACAATTTGACTGTTTCTACTTTCTCCAGTTTAACTTTTCTTTCCTAGCCAATTCTCCATTCTGAAAGCGACGAAGGAAGGTCAACGATGGCGGCGGCGATTAGGCGGCTGCAAACGGAGACCGATTCCGATCCTCCTCCGATTTGGTCTCTCAATTTCTCTTTCCCGTTTCTCCGATGCGTGTCGTCTTCTCTACTCTGGATCTCTGTTTTCTCTGATTCTCTCAGTAGCATTGAACCAACAGGCAACAGCAAGTCTACGCAAAACGAGCTATTTACGAAACGACGTCATTTCCTTGCCTTATAAAGGATAATAGCACTATAGCCCCTATACTATGCATATGTGACAAGTAAGTTCTGATGCTAACATCGTTAACATCACAGGTCCTTGTACTATTTTGTGCTTCTCAAATTAGTCACTCCGTATAGATTTCCTACCAAATCCCACAGGTGATCAGCCAGCAGCTTTTGACTAAGCCACTTAAGGTGCCAAGTAGACAGATTTATCCTCTTTCGTCCTTAATTAATTGAAGGATCAACAAAAAAAAATAAATGAGAAATTACAATTTCTCCTTTGTCTTCGCTTTGGAAGAGGTATAAATTATAAAAACAAACATATAAATCGTTTTACATTGTAAGAGACTGGTATAAGATCTGGTATAACCTTCTCCCAATAACTCGTATTATTGGGACCAACTGGTTTATGACATGTTATCAGAACTTATTTGGCCAAGTGGTCGTGCGTTCGAATCTCCACGACTCCCAATATTAACAGTTGATTAAAGCACAAGGACTATTTAATTAAGCATTTAATAATAAAAATAAATCTATATCACCCTTATAATAATAATAACAATAGATTGTCACCTCCATGACAATGTTGTCCCCAATGAAAGAGGGCTAGCCTAGCTAGAAAAAGGGCGCACGATCATCCGAAAGGTCGTGTGTTAGAATTCTGACGAAAACATTGATCCTTTCAAAGCGGAATTGTATCCATCGATTAAGAGTTCACATCATTAATCTAGAAACATGCAACAATTGCTTAGATCAGGTACTAAGATTCAAATGTTTGAGTAGTCCATAGTTGGATTGAGAAATAGATTAATTAGGTCAGTATATATATGTGATAAATAGTTTAGTTCAAATTATTGATAAAAAAGGTTAACTATAAATTTTATATCATTATCTTACAAAATATGATAAATAAATCTAAATTAATGTCATACGCTAAGAACCAATAATACTTTAGAAGGGAAGACATAATAATGTCAACTCATCATACTAACTAGAAATTTAAAAAACCTTTAGCCATTAGAGTAAATTGGTAGATCACATAAACCATAATTTAGACCGGTTTAAAAAAGAAACACAATCTAGTTGGGCTTCAAACACACATAGGAGTGTTTTGCTTATTATTTTCTCGCTAATAACGACTTTCGAGAAAGGTATCCTAATAACATCTTTTGAAGATAGTAGAAAGGGAAACAAATTTTACAATTGTAACCTCCGAGATTCAATCTTTAGCCTCCTCGATGCAAAGAAAGGAGCAAGTCTTTCAGTATCCTATTGTAAATATATGGTCTCTCAACTTGAACCAGATGCCCTGCTTTCTTTATCGACTTCAAGGTTGCTTTCCCATACAGCAGCCTAAAAAATATCGTCAAACCAACATAATTAATCACTTGGCTAGCTAGAGAAACACCCTGGAATTAAGTAAATGGAGTATTAAAGTATTGCTGGACAGTGGAAACAATATATATATATATATATATATATATATATATATATATATATATATATATGAATTAAGAAATTAATTATTACATACTTGATTCGGTCATATCCCTCCTGAATGTCTATCAGTCTGTCTTCTTCTCCCCATATGAAATTAATCTCCTGTTGGTGGACAAAAATACACATACAATATATGAGCAGTGTTAATGATGAAATTTAAAAATTAGATGATGACCATTGCAGCTATTATCGGTGATGTAGACAAGAATTTAGGTAGGGAAGGTCTGAAATTAAAAGAAGATTTTTTAATGTTGTACAATACATGTTTTTCATATTATGAAAAATATATAAAATACATTCATCATTGAAAATATCAATGTTGTCTATGTATACTATCGAAAAACCATTCATTGTTTCATCATTCACCCAATTCCGAAATGTGTGCTTCAATTTGTTCATCGCATAAAACATTCTTTTAACACTTGCACAAATGATAAGTAGCAACAGTGCCAAACTTCAAAAGTTGGTACACTGATGGAAAATTATGTCTTTCTAACACAATCGTTTTCAATAAAAAAAGTTTAGCAATGAGCATTGCTATTCGTCGCCCTAAAATTCTTTATTTGTCGCCTTAATCAAATTAAATTTACGTTAATGTCCTTAGTTCATTTATTTGTCTTTCAAACAGTTAAACCCCAAACTAAATGCATATCATACACCAAATAACAAAACACAAGGAAATAAATTGAAAATTTTCTAATGAAATTGACACAGCTCGATCTGTTATAGTTTTCTCTTCTTCCTTTTTGATTGGGGTTTACTGTATGATCAAAATTAAATACTCTGGTTTACTTTTAAAAAAAAAATTAAATACTCTGGTAAAGCATGGAGAGTCGGGGGTGATTGATTGTGTATCTTATTGTGTATTAAAAGGTTCTGTTCCAAAGAAATGTGGGCATCAGAAGATCAGCCGATCGATTTATTTATTGTAATGAGCAAAAAGAAAATCTTCCCTGCTAAATAGCAAATATTCATTTGTTTGTACCAGGGAGGAGTTGGGTTTTTTGCGATGGTTTATCTGGAATTACATCAACGTCTTTCGATCAGTGCTTATCGACGAACTTAACAACCCCCTCAATCATTTTCGCGAATTCGATCCCTGTAAGCGGATCCAGATCCAGGGCACTCTCGTTGAGGTAAAAGCTGTGTCCTATCCCAGCATTGATCAAAAGCTCCACATCTTTCCCGGTAGCCTTCATCGCCTCGTAGAACTCCATCTTGTAGATGAAAGAGGTTGCCGAGTGATCCGGAGACCGTGGAGAGTCGGTAGACGGTAAATGAAAGAAAGTTGAGGAGTGAGTGGAGGGAAAAGGATGGCGATGGTGGCAGATTCCAGAAGTAGATTGGGGTTCGGCAGGAGCAGGGGAGGGGAGATGACGATTCTTTTTCTAGGTGAGGGCGGCGGATGTAGGTTGCGGGTGGGGAGGGATTGTTTGGTTAGTGCTAGAATTAAAATTGGACTGATGGATAAATATGTCAATTTCTTGTATTTTAGGGCGATAAAATTTGAATTGCAAGTTTGGTCACTGGGATTACAAAAACGTTCATGTTTAGTCACTGAAAATATTTAATTCCAATCTTGATCACTCAGATTAGTTAAATGATTCAAGTTTGGTCACTCTCTGTTACCTTCCATCAATCTCCGTTAACACTGTCAGTTATATGCTGACGTGGCTAACAGACTCGCCTAAATCACCTATTTTTAACAAAAATAAAATACAACTCCGACACATCATAAAAACCTGCCACATCATAAAAATCTAGTGACCCGACCCACCCCAAATTAGATAAAATAGATGAAAACAAGTTAGGGAGAAGCAGATCAGTCATTCGTTAGGGCTAGGTATTTTTTCCATTTAGATAAAATAGATGAAGAAGAATCCAGAATTTCCCGTTGGTGGGCAGGGGAGGAATCTGCGATACAGGAGGGGAAACAACGTTAGGTCGGGAGTGGTGGGCAATCAACGGATTGGGGGCAGGGGGCAAATCTCCGAGCAGCACGAGGAAGAGGAGGTTCTTCAACCACTACCACCTCGTCGTCCTCGTCCTCATCGCCGGCGGGGAAGAGACGAAGGTGGAAGGATGGGTCATCGCTCCCTTCTACATCGCTTCACCTTCCTTGAGAGTTTACATCTCCAATTGCACGGATGCCAGCATGCACTACCGAAGGAAAACGGGGAGTCTAATTGTAGGATGGCAAGGGAGTGAGGAGTTTTGATGGTGACCCGGTTCTGGAGCCAAGGGAGATGAAGATAATGGATGGGCTGGAGGGCTAGGAAGTAGAGGAGGAGAGTGGGAGGGATTAAGGAGACTGGTGGGGAAATCAGAACATTGGCCGACAATTTTTCACAAAGAGGGTTAGGGATTGGAGAAGAAGGGAAGAGGGGGTTGGGTTGGGCCAAGATGACAAGGTGGGTTGAGTGACGTGGCAGGTCAGGTTTCATTATTTTTGGATTAAATTAGGCTGACTAAGCAATTCCGTTTGCCACGTCAGCAGATAACGGATTTTGTTAACAGAGTTGGATGGAGACTAACGAAGAGTGACCAAACTTGAACCATTTAACTAATCTGAGTGATCAAGATTGGAATTAAATATTTTCAGTGACTAAACATGAACGTTTTTTGTAATCCCAGTGACCAATCTTGCAATTAACCCGTAAAATATCATTTTGGAAACCTCGTTAGGATAAGGAACGTAGCAAGTTTTAATAATTATGTATCATCAAGTCAACAACGGAAGAACTCAATTTTGAGGAGGTTGCGGGAACAAGGGTGTATGATGATTTGAGTAGGTTGTGGAAGTTGGGATTCAGAAGAGCTCGATGTAATCTTAAATGTTCAAGTATAAATAAACTAAATGTTATATATAAATCACAAAAGTGAGGTAAAATATCCCAGGTACTATTATAGTATGAGATTTGGGAGAGCTATATCACTTAACTAAGAATAGGCATCACGTGCCATTGAACTCTATTATATGTGCATCTGGTACCAGTTAAGTTTACTTCTATGTGCATTTTGTTAAAGTTGACAGAATATTCTTGGAATATTTCGTTTTCTAAATTTCATAATTGGTCTTTCTACTTTTCTTATTGTAAAAAAATCATTTTGACTTATGAAAAACATCATTTTTTATTGTTTAGTTGGAATCCTCTTTTGAAAACTTGATACCAAGTCAATTTTAGAATAGAAAATTTAGAATTAATTTTCATTGTAAGTATTTTCAATTATCCTTATGTGTTCTAATAATTGAATTATTTCCTGAACAAAATATATCCTATGAATTCTATGTCAGTATAAATAATTTGAAGATGTTATATTTAGTTCTCTACATCATGTTTATGTTGTCTAATTTGATATGTTAAATCTCCTTTTAATTCTCTAGTATTATATTATAATATAGATGTTACATAATAGTTAAATTTACTAATTCTAACTCTTTTCCTGTAGTCGTATTTTCTTATCTACATTTGGTACTGAATGTTGTAGCTTTTATAATTTATTTATTATTTTTTAAATTTTCATCTTTTTTCGCTCTAATTTTTTTCAATAAATAAAATATATTTATTTCTTTCTGATTGTATTCTATTTATCCTTCTTTGGTCTAAATGTATTGATGATCGATTATGTTATATTTTAACTGTTTCTAATGGTACTCCTAACTGAATTACGGATTTCAATAGATCTTCTAATATTAATTTTAAATATTTTTTTTATTATCTTCTAGTGTATTTATAATTTTTTAATATTTTTTAATATTTTTACTAATTTATCTATTTTATTGAAAATTTTTTATTAGTCATTCTAGTAATACTTGTTTAGAAGGTTTTCTAATTTTTATAGTAGATAAAACTTGTTGAAATTTGGTTTTTGATCTTTTTAAAAGTTTTGGGTATTAAAAAGTAAATAAAAGTTTGGGTTTGATGGAAAAGCAGACGGATGCACATTTTAACGACTTTAATGGTACCCAACGTCCTATTCAAAGTTAAGTGGTATGTCTACCCCAATTCTCAAATTTAAGTTGTATCCAAGATATTTTACCGAAAATGTTATTATACACATCCATCACAAAAAAAATGTCAATGTCTTAGTAAAAAAAACAAAAAAAAATGTCAATGTAATTTTGTAGTAAAAATGTTGTCGCCTAACATGGAGGTCCCCTGTCTTCACTGCAAGTCATTACTAATATTTCCCCCCCCCATATTTGTGGGTTGTCTTGTGGGTCCATTACTGGGCATCGTATATGCACATTAGACTAACTTCAATCTCTAAAGTCAAATTTGGCTCCCCAAGTAGCCAAATATAACTTTTTAGCTCCCCAAACCCCATTTTCACTCCAACCCTACACAATGCTAAATTTAGCTTCCTACCTATCTTTTTCAATTTATTACAATAAAGCTTACTTATGTGACCTCTAATTTTCATATTTCACTTTAATTTTCTATAGTTAGTTATTACTTTTGAAAACAAAATTTTTGATCTAATTTTTTTTTATTCCGAGACAAAAAAAAGTTTCGGAAAATTAGTCATTATTTTGTTACCGTTAACTTCGGGACCAGTGAAAAAATACCAATTAAACATATAACATTTCATATCTTCTTTCAAACAATTAAACAAACAACATACACAATCAACCAATGACAAAATACCACACAAAAAAAAAGGAAAAAGAAAAAACAACACAATCAACCAATGAGAAAATCCCACAAAAAAAACAAAAAGCAAAAAAATAAAAGAGGACCCACCGCGGGTTCACCATTTCCTCTAGCCAAATTTGGCTTTTTCACATTTTTTGAAGCTAAATTTGGCTTCCAATTCACCAATACCCATTTTTAGCTCCCAAAATAATGTGGGTTGGAGCAAAAAAAAGAGCTAAAAATGGGTAAATGACTTTTTAGCTCTAGAGTTGGAGTTAGTCTTACAAATTTTATATTAAAAAATCTAAAGGGTAAATTGAAAGTATGGTCACCTAATTTAGTAAATTGTTTCACTTAATATATTTTATTCCATTTGTAGTTATCAATTTTATACTCTAATTTCATCAATGATCAATTTCCGTCCATTTTCATCTAACTCTCGTAACTAACCGATGTGGCAACTAATATTTAATAACATTTATAATTTAATAAAATTTCCACCTCATTTTATACCATCGTTAAAAAAAGGAAACCTAGTTTATTTCTAATTTATACAAGAACGTACTCTCGATACAATATTTCTTGGAGCACGTCAAGTTCCAATAGTTCAAATTACTACAGTACAGTATTTCTTAAGAGGAAATTATTATTATATAGTAGATGAAGTATATATGTATACCATCTTCATCATGGAAATAACAAGTAATAAATGTCAACGGATACGAATGCCATGGAATTCGATCCACAAATTCCATGCCGCGCGGTGGCATGAACATGATCATGAATCATCTTTATGCGCCCCTGCTGCTGTCTGCAGATTCTGCAGAACCATGCAGCTAGCTAGCTAGCTTGATCACGACGTACGCATTCTGTTTGTTACCATATATATTTATATTTTTTTACTATTACGACGAAAATCCGTAAAAAAATGGCAAATCTCAACCTCTACATGAATAACCGACAAATATCGATAGAAACAGTAAATTTACGTACGGTAAAAGCTAGGGCCTACCTGAGAACAGTAGCTGGCCGTTTTAGCGACGTCGTTGTCGCCGACGAAGAGTGCGTCCAGAAGTTGAGCCCTCTCCTTCCTGTGCTCGAACAAAACCTGCAGCAACCGCACCAGCCACATGCAAACGTTATTGTACGTTGTACAGCTAGCTATAGCTACTCGTCACGTCCATTGAGTCTAAGTTCTAACCACCACTCCGATACACTACGTGTAAAACATGAAAGCACTACTGCAGTCGCCATGTGTATCATAAATAATTCATAGTAGCTGGAGGTCGAGTACATACGGCCTGCCTACAATAATATATATGCAACGTAACCCTACTACGTCCCGGTGGTCGGTTTGAATTTTGAAGATGGTGGTGGCAAGCCAATAATATTGAAACGAACGTCGAATCGTGGGCTCTTTTTTTTTTTTTTTTTTTTTGTATGGTGGCTATTACAATAACGTGGAAATTAAATGATCATGATTGAGTCTTGTGATTGGGGTCATAATTAAGGAAGGACCAGTGTTTGTAAATTGTGCAACATGCCTCCGACCTAACCAAATTCAATGACCCCTTCTTGGTTGAAACATTACCTACTAGGGTTTCAACTTTGAATTTTTGGCGTTTGGCCCCTCAATTTTCATCTTTAATTAATGAGTCGTCTGAATGTGATATTTGGAGTCAAACACCATATTACATGATAAAATACCATGTAATATATAGATTCTCGACTTTAACTGTTAAATGAGTCATTTGAATGTAGTATTTTGTGGCCAAACACCACATAATGTGGTATTTTATCTTAAATGTCGATCACGTGGGTTGAATGACCTAAAATAAATATTGTATTTCATTTTTTTGGTATTTTCACAATGTTACAAATGTGGGTTTTAGAAATATATATTAGAGGTTGTGGTTAGTATTATGAAAAATACCATTATGCATGTCCTCTTCTATCTATTACTTTCTGATTTCTATCAGAAAATATCCAACCCATACAACTTGAGATTTGGTTTTTAAGATGAAATAACGATTTTTTTACCAAATTAAAATCAAAATATCACATTATCAATTCCACCATATATAATATTTCCCAAACTTCTGAGACAAATATCACATTCTAGGTAACATGTATAGTATCACGTGAGTGGTATTTAGATTCAAATAATACACCCAAAATCAATGTAGTCAAAATCACGGTTTAAAACTTAAAAACTTACGATTTTACGTTTCTAGATTATATTAGTTAGTTAATCCAATTACCTCCAAAGCATCCTTGAGCAAGCGATTAGGCAACCACGGCAGATCGTAAATAATATTCCCCAACAAGCTCCTCACACCTTCCACAGTCTCCGGCAACATAAACTCCGCCCACGTCTCGTACCCGATCCGGCCCAACCCATCCCTACGAATCGACTCGGTAAACTCCATAACCGACCCGGTAAGAACCAGCGACTCGACCATCCCGGGAAACAACCTGCCCATCTCGAACCCGACCGCCCCGCCGTAGCTGAACCCGACCACCGTACACCGCTCCACCCCGAGCTTCCTCAGCGCCTTCCCCACGCACTCCGCCTGGAACGCCGGCGTCCGCTCCGGCCGGTCGGTGACTGAGCCGCCGAAGAACAGCAGGTCCGGGACGTAGACGGAGTAGTGTTTGGCGAAGGCCGGGATTTGGAGAGCCCACGTCAGGATCCCGTCGAACCCGAACCCGTGGAGGAAGACCAGCGCCGGTTTCTTGTTTTCGTTGGTTGGACCGGATGATGGGGACCAGATGTTGATGACCGTTCCCGGTTCGACCTCGACCGGTTCGGGTCGCGTCGCGGCGAAGAGGCGCAGTAGCCATCGGATAATGGTCTGGCAAACCAGCATCGTGTTCACCATGTTTTTGTAGGAAGGAATTTTTACGAGATGGATGGATGTATTGGAGGGAATATTTAAGGGACAAACTGAGAGAGAGAGATATACGTATGTATATGTAGAGATGGGAGAAAGGCAGGCATGAATATAATTTGGAGCAGGGAATTGGATAGAAATGAAATAAATGGTAGTTAATTTAGCAGTGGTGGTGGAGCTATATATATAAGGGAATATGGTCCATCGAATAGCAACTACTCAATGATTTTTGTTTTCTTATGTCAAACTCATGAACAATTGGGTTGTTGGCTCCATATAATAATCTATAACAAGCTGGCGTTACCTCTTTAGCTCTATGTAAATGGAGATAGTATTTTGAAGAGTGTTAGTTCTACTAACTCACTTTATTAGGGAAAAGACAAAAAAGTAGGTGTCACATCTCATTTTTTCATGTACCTGTCAAGGGTAAAATACTTCGGATACCACTTAAATTTGAGAATTGGGGCAGGCATACCACTTAAGTTTGAATAGGGCGTCAGATACCATTAAAGTCGCCAAAATGTGCATCCGTCCAGTTTTCCATCCAACCCAAAATTTTAATTACTTTTTTGGACCCAAAACTTTTAAAAATATCAAAAACTATATTTAAACAATTTTTTATCTAATATATAAATTAAAAACATTCTAAACATAATATTACTAAAATGGCTAATCAAAATTGTCAATAAAATAGATAAATAAGTAAAAATAAAAAATAAATATCAAGAAGAATAATAAATATATAGCATATAATAATAAATATTTAAAATCAATATTAGAATATCTATTTAAAATCCTAATCTAATTAGAAGTACCATTAAAAATAGTTAAAATGAACATAATCGATCATCAATACATCAAGATCAAAGAAGGATAAATGGAACACAGTCAGAAAGAATTAAACATATTCCAGTAATTGAAGAAAATTTAGAATGAAAAGTATCCAAATAATAAATAAACTATAAAAGCTACAATATTCCATAGCAAATCTAGAAAAGAAAATACGACTATAGAAAGAGAATTAGAAGTAGTGAATTTAATTAATATGGAACATCTACAATATATATTAGAAAATTATAAGGATATTTAACATAGAAAATTATACAACATCGACATGATGTACGAGAATTAAATATAACTTTCTCAAATTATTTATATCGATATAGGATTCATAGGATACATTTGCTTGAGCAAATTGTTCAATTATTATAACACATAATGATAATTGAAAATACTTATAATGATAATTGATTCTACATTCTTATTCGAAAATTGGTTTCGTATCAGAGTCTTCAAAAGAGCATTCCAACTAAACAGAATTAATAGGATATATTTGCTTCAGTAAATAATTCAATTATTAGAAAACATAATGATAATTGAAAATACTTATAATGATAATTGATTCTAAATTTTCTATTCAAAAATTAATTTGGTATCAAGTCTTCAAAAGAGGATACCAACTAAATAATAAAAATAGATGTTTTTCATAAGTCAAAATGATTTTTTACAATAAGAAAAGTAGAAGGACCAATTAAGAAATTTAGAAAATGGAATATTCCAAGAATATTCTGTTAACTTTAACGAAATGCACTTAACATTAAACTTAAGTGGTACCGGGTGCACAAATAATAAAGTTCAGTGGTACCTGACACCCTATTCAAATTTATATTCAAATTTATGTGATATGTGTGCACCAATTCTCAAACTTAAGTGGTACCCGATGTATTTTACCCTAATAAAAATGTCACTAAGATTAGGGTCGGATCAACTCTTAATGCGAAGTTATTGTATTCAAATACGAGTTATTTCAATTCAATAATTTCTTGTGTATGTGATCAAAATCTGTTGTAACTTGATTGGTAGGCACCACTCCCATCAAAATCTATGATAGCTTCATCACTATCGAGGGGTCATTTGCTTTGTAGATTTTGATATCAAATCCAATTCATCGTGTACTTTGCACACAACAGTTGTTTTCCTGAAGTTTGCTTGTAATCAAATAAGTGGGGCCTACTGTCTTTAAATGTCTAAATTCGTGGCCAGATGAACTTACAAGTCTCATATCAAAACGCAAAATTTGGAGCATGGCCATAAATACAAGTAAGACTCTCCCAAATCCATAATGAAAATAAATCCATCATAAATTTAAGGTTTTCCAAAACCTAGAATTTATCAAAACTCATATTTTTTAAATTTATGAAGCAAACGATCCCTTAAGTCGTTCATACCGATCAAGCAAGAGGATGAAGTCATATATTTGTTCAAGAAGGGAAAGTCTAACTTACGATTTGAACCTGAAACCTTGACATTGAAAAACAACAACGATACTACTAAATCATACTCTCATTCACGTGATAAGATTTTATTTTATTTTTGAATTAGATTGTAGGTGATGTTGTCGATGTGTTAGACTCTTGGAGGCTGGCCCATACAGATTGTCGCAGGTTTTGGTTAAAAAGTCTCCTCCCTTTGAACACATTCTTACCTCCACTTCAATCATAAAAAAGGGCAATTTTTAATTATGGTGTATGCAAAATTTAGTTTAATTTTGACATTTAAAACCACTCAAGTTATTTAGTGAATACTTTCCCCAAGTGTACTAGGGGAAATACTTTCCGACTGGGACTTTCCTCACTGCTATTGTGCGATCTCGCCCATCTTGGAGATGGCAGAGCATCCTTTATAGTAGACCGTTAGTGCAGATTCTCAGATGGCAGATAGGTAACGGGTGAACAGCCTCAATGCTTTCCTCAAATTGGATCCTTCGGCTACACCCCCATACTCCTTTGTATAATCCTCAGGTGTTGCCAGATGGAGACCCAAAGGTGATTTGCCAAGGGGAGGACAGGTGGTGTGATATCAAACTCGGCCAGTGGTTTGACCTAGCCACGTCTCGTGCCATCAAGACTATCCCTCTTCCACAACAGGATGTTGAGGATAGTTTGATCTAGCATAACACGTGCGATGGGATTTTCACTGTCAAGTCGGCCTATCACCTCGCAGTCTTGTTAGATAAGCAGGTTGGTCAATGGCGGTCCACAGCTAGTTGGATGGACAAGTCGAGCAGGATTGGCATGTGGGAAGCCCACATTCCACCCAAATTAAAGATGTTTTTATGGCTCGTTGAGAAGGATGTTCCGGTTCAGCCTAGGTGCTCGGTTTATTGGGCAGATTATGAGACAATATAACATTTGTTTCTGGATTGCCCGTCACACTTTCCCGCTCTTCCTGAAGAAATTGATGGATATTATTCAGCAACCTTAAGTCTTCATGGAAGTTGTTGCGGTCCTTTGGCGGATCTTGCAGTCTCGTAACTAGGTTGTCTTTAAGGGAAAATAATTTGGGATCCCAGTGTTAATGAACAATTCCACAAGCAGTGTCCGGAGTGGATTAGCTTGCCAGTTGGCCGTGTGGTCAGATCGTCCGTCCCACAAGTGAGTTATCTTGGTGGTGGCAATCCTAGTCCAGTGATCTGTATGTGGGATGGGGATACCAAGCATGGGTCTCATTCGACAGATGGCATAATTGTCAAGAACCATGAGGGGATGGTCCTTTTGGCGAAAGGGGTGCAGTTTGCTGATATTGATGATCCTATGGTAGTCGAGCTCCTCATTCTCCGAGAGGCAATTCTCTAGTGTCTGGAGAATGGGTTTACGAAGGCAAGGCGACACCAAGGTGGTCATTGATACGGGTTGGATACGGTCCTTAAGCCTCATTGTTTAAGGAGGTTCTTAAACCATTTTTATTGGCTGATACTAGATTAGGTAGTTAATGAGGGGTTAGGAATTAATAGTTAGTTGGAATAAATAAGATATTATGAAATATAATTAATATTACTCACTAATGATTCTCTTTCTCTCTCCCCCTTGATCTTCTCCATAACCCTCTCTCTTCACTACAATTAAAAGAAAATTCGTGATTAATTTAATCAAATATTATTATTTAATATTTAATAAATTCGAAATTAATATTTTTTATTTTTTAAAATGAAAAATGAAAATTAAAATTATATGATCTCTCTCACTTCGTGGCAACTTGCAATATAATATTAACATTTTGCAATGACGATATCAACATTTATGAAATGAATCGTTATTATTATACCTCATCATTATTAATGACTTCAATATACTTATCAATTCCTTACAATTACATTATTAACAATTTTGGATCAATTGTTACTGTTTTATAGTTTCGTCATCAACGCCTATGAATGAATCATTAAAGTTATGTAACATAGTCATTAATAGTTTGAATAACAATTTCATTGATTTACAACATCTTTAGTACTAATGATTTACATTTTCACATCATGTTTATAACTATCTAGTCATGGCCTCTTCCAATGATTTATAATGATATTATTAACGTTTTATGATCAATTAATATTGCTTTACATTATCATTCTCAATGATCATAAAGCACAATACTAATTTTCAACATCTTGGGTACTTGTGACATAGTGCACCTGTGTGATTCAGTCAAACAAACATTGTTCAGAAAAATATTAGCTCAAGCAAACCAACATTCACGTATCAACACCAAACTTTTAATAACAATACAATAAACCATTGATAACGAAATTTATTTCATTGAAAATAAACACAAAACATCAATGTAAAAATGTCCGACTTCAATATTATAAATGACATCAAACTTTTAATAAAGATATTAAAAATCATTAATATCGAATGATCAAGTCACTGATAAGGAAATAGATTTTTGTTATAAAATAATATTAATAATATTCAGATGCAATGTTTAATGTCAAATAGTACTAAAAACGCATTAATAAGTAACATGTGTTTAATGGATAATGCATAAAAAACTTTGATAATGATAGCAACTAATGATTGTTAAGTACCTTATTAGATATTATTAATATCTTATTTTCAAACATTGATAATGCTTATACACGCCTATTAATAATGACACCAACTACGTTACTAACTTAGACGGAAAGATTAATAACCAGAATTATATCATTAAACGTAAATTCACTTTTGATAATGTCATAAACAAACGAATATCTAACAAGTATGCTTCTTGATAATGACATTTGACAAAGTTACAAACATAAACGAAAAAATATTAATAATTCAAATCACTAAACATAAGCAATCTTACAAATGAAATAAATTTTTGCTAATGGTTGTATGTGCTTGAAAAAAAAACATTGATAATAGCACTTCAAATGATTATAAATCATTGCGAACCAAATTGATAATACGATGTAATAGTAAATAAACTTCAAGTACCAACAAATTGAAAACACAATTTCACTTTTGCTAATGTTACAAACAAAACATAACCTAAAAAGTTAATAATGTCATAAAATTATTAAAAAACATGTCGAGCAACATTAATAATAACACAAACGAATACCTAACAACGAAAAATCTCAAACCCATGCAATGAAAAGCTCTAATGATGATTCAATTTATAAATATTGATAATGTCAATACAATTAATATTTAATACTAATCGAAAGTTGCCAAGATGTGAGAGAGGCATATATTTTAAATTTCAAATTTCCATTTTAGAAAAAGAAAATTATTAAATTTGGATTTTATTAAATATTAAATAAAATTAATTTCATATTTCTTTGTAATTATAATGTAGAGACTAGGGTTATGGAGAAAATCATGGGAGGAGAGAGAAAGATAATCATTAATTAATTATATTTGCATAATCCTATTTACCCTTAACTACCTATTAACTACTGTTGGGGATATAGCTCGGATCCAGTCGCGCGAGTAAGACGGTCGAGCGAACTTCCCGCAAGTAAATACACGACCGCGAATGATTGAAGCATCAGGCGGCGCCGTTTTGATCCTGCCCAAGCCGACGTCGTTTCACTTCACCAAAACCAGCGCCGTTTTGATCCTTCCCAAGCCGGTGTCGTTTCGGTCAATCCAAACTAGGGAAAGAAAACCGAGAAAACGGTGCCGCAGCCTACGAAGGAAGGGTCACGTCCTAGGTCAGGTCCTAGGAATGATTATGACCTAAAGCATGGCCTAAGTTTCTGACACACGTAATGGTCTTGTCGCATTAAATATCCACTACTGTAATGTACTATAAAAGGGGCATTTACTACGGTAGGTAAGGGGATCGGATTTTTTACTCTCTCACTAATACACATCCACTTCTCTCACTAGAAAACTTCTTTCTCTTGTTCCTTCATTCTCAAAGCTTCCAGCCATTGACAGATTGGATATTCACCTTGCTTGCTCTTCTCTCCCCTCTTCCCCGAGTCTCACTCCTACTCTCAGTTAGGCTCAAACAATTGGCGCTCACCGTGGGGCCGAGTAGAGAAGTGGTGGAAAACTAACTAATGGCGAAACATAACCCCAACTCACCCGATGAAACAACACCCATCAAGGCTATGACGAACCCAAGAGCGTGCGCGGAAACCAGTAACCTCAACGTGGTGCTCATCGAAGAAGAGGAGCCCGAGCTGACGCCCAAGGAGATGAGGCAACAAATGGCTAAGCAAAACGAAGTCATAGCCAATATGCAAAAAAAGATGAACCAGGTCATAGCGCTCATGATGAGCAAAGAAGCCGCGCAGCCAAGTCACGCGCCATTACCAGCGCCCGACGAAACACCAGAGCCCGTCCCACTGCCACAACAAATGCCGGTCGCATTGCCCACGGACGAGCCGCTACAAGCGGAGCCGCTCACCAGAGCGGACCTCAGTTTCCTAGAGCAACACTTGTCTCCGCAATACCGCCCTCACCCACCAAAAAGAATCCTCCACCTACCGTTAAGCGCAGACATAATGGCGGAACACCTAAGCGGAATGCCGCCCGCCCTCCCCACGTATAACGGGACGACTGACCCCTCAGGATGCAACTCCAAACCAATTCCAACGCGGCACTATGCAGAACCTTTCTGTCGACATTCTCCGGCATATGTCTCGACTGGTACAACAGACTCCCCAACGGAATCATCCGCTCCTTCGAGGAGTTCATACTCCTGTTCACCACCAAGTTCGCGTCACAAAAAAGGAGACTCTTACACCTCAAGGCCTTGATTGACATCAGGCAAAAGGATGGAGAAAGTCTGCGCGCATTCTATGCCAGATGGTCCAGGGTAGCAATGGTCGTGCGGGACCTCACCCCTGAAACCACCGCCCATCACCTCATGGACGCCACAACCAACATGGAACTCAAGCGCGCCATAGCAAAGAGGCCAGTCACGCTGTCAACGGAGCTTGAGGCCAAGATTGAGAAGGCCATCACGCTGGAAGAAACTTTGGGCGCGGGTTCCATCAGGCGCTTGAACCTTCCAAGTCGCCCAGAGAAGATCAGGGGCTGAAACAACTTCCAGTGTCGCGGGAGCATTTATTACAGTCGCACAGTGGGCCCAGACGACAGCCCGCCCCACCGGAACAAGCCCTGCGAAGACGCTCCCCAGACAGACGCCCACAAAACACAATGCCCGCTTACACACCACTCAACGATTCCGTAAAAAATGTGTTCCATGTCCTCCGTGAGAAGGGATACAAGATCAATTGGCCCGCGCCTGTCAAAGCTGCGCCGCACATGCGCGACCCGAGTAAGCATTGCGAATTTCACAGGGAAACGGGTCACTTAACCAAGGACTACAGGGAGCTGAGGTATGAAATAGAGGGTCTCATCCGAAGAGGACTCCTATCACAGTTCATCCAAGGAGCGGAGGGGTAGAAAGAACAGCGCGGGAATCCACCGCCTCCCCCACAACCAAATTATGATGAGGCAACTGGCGCGTACCTAGTGTGAAAATAAATTGGGGTGTTGATGGTTGAAGGAAGCCGCCCAACCAAGAAGACGAAACGCGAGCGCGCCATGGAATGCGCGGCGTCGGAGGTGCGGCCAAAGTGCCCTTTAAGTTTCGACGACGCGGAATTCCCCCAAGGAATCCCGTCAGAAGACCCGCTCGCCATCACCGCGCTAGTAGCCGCCTGCAAAATTCATCGCCTGCTGATTGACGGGGGTAGCGCGGCAGATATCCTTTTCAAGAGCACCCTCGACCAAATGAACATCGATCCGCGCTTAATCAGGCGAGCGGAGGGGAACTTGGTCGGATTCTCAGGAACAAGGGTCGCGGTGATCGGAGTGGTCACCCTCCCCGTCGTAATCGAAGATCAGGAGCCGCGAGTCTCCAAGCAGGTCGAGTTCACCATTGTCAACTGCAACTCTTCCCACAACGGCATCCTGGGACGACCATTCCTCGCCAAATTCATAGCACTCCCATCAACGTGCCACCAAAAGCTCAAATTCCCCACCAAGGCAGGGACCGGAGAAGCCCGTGGAACACCATCGGGAGCCCCAAGAATGGAAGGAGAGTCCCGCCAGACCAACATTGTTGACACACACGCAGAAGACCCGCACCCAGAATCAATGGATTCCGACTTCGAAGTTGCGCTTGACCCGAGAAGAAAATCCGCGTTTCAACCCATGTCCACGGTGACATGGTTGAACCACTAATTGCGCTGCTGAAATAGTATAAAGAGTTATTCGCCTGGTGCACGGAGGACATGCCGGGAGTACCAAAGCAAGTAGCTCAACATTCCCTCGCGGTTCCCGCCAATGCAGAACCAAGGCAACAAGTGCGGAGAAGCTTCACAGGCGACAAGCTGAAATCCATAGAGGAAGAGGTCACGCGGTTACTGGCGGCAGGGCTAATCCGACCGGTGAAATATCCGAAGTGGTTGGCGAATGAGGTTTTGGTAAAGAAGTCTTCGAGAGCCTGGCGAATGTGCGTCGAATATACAACGATAAACAAGGTGTGCCCGGGGGACCTTTACCCCCTGCCGCGGATTGACCATCTGATCGACGCCACAGCGGATCATGAAACGCTGTCTTTCCTAGACATGTTCTCAGGATACCACCAAATCCCAATGTCTCGCAAAGATGAGGAGAAAACGACATTCATGACGCCATTCGGAAATTTTTGCTTCGTTGGGATGCCGTTTGGCTTGAAGAACGCTGGCGCAACCTACCAAAGAATGATCGACTCAGTGTTCTCGCGACAGATTGGGCGGAACATTGAAGCGTACGTAGACGACCTCATCGTCAAAACCAAGGCGGGTAACTCACACCAGGAAGACTTGCGCGAGACTTTTGAGGCGCTGCGCAAACACAGCCTCCGCTTGAACCCTCTAAAGTGCATGTTCGGAGCAGAAGCGGGGAAATTTCTAGGGTTCATGATCACTAAGCGCGGTATCGAGGTTGACCCTAAACAGATAATCGCAGTTCAACAGTTGCGGGCGCCGAGGAGCGCGTTGGACATACAATCATTAAACGGCAAGATAGCGGCACTGGGAAGGTTCATACCAAGGTC